ACCCTGTGCTCAGAACCTCTGAGTCTGTCTCTTCATCTGCATCACACTTAAGGTCACATCTTTGTTTTGAAAAGAGGAGAGTGAGGCTCAGAGAAGTTAGGTGGTTTTCCCAAGGCCACCCAGCAGGTCAGCTTCCTGTCTCCTCTGCTCTTCTCCTACATAGACACTGCCTCTCCGCCCAGACCTGGGCCTGGCCCACCATTAGGTACAGTAAGTGTTGCTGAATTCAACTGTCTTTGAATATATGTTATAAACTGAGAATCCTGTTTGTAAAGTGGTTTTATTGTTTGGGGATTACAAAATAAGATATGCTCATGATACCCTTCATACCACATTGAAACTTGTAACATGGGTGCCCCTGGGCATCCTTTTCCCACTAGCCCAGTGCCTCCAGGCAGTCACTTTTTGATTTCTATCACAATGCATTCATGTCACCTCTCTTTGGTCCCTTTATACCCGAAGCCCTACTATATATACTTTTATGTCTAGTCTTTCACTTAATATAATTTTTTTGAGATTCATCCCTGTTATCTTCTTATCTTTAGTTCTTTAAGTTTTGTTTTGTTTTTTTTTTAAAGTAATCTCTACATCCAGGGTGGGGCTCGAACTCATGATCCCAAGATCAAATCAAGAGTTATATCCTCTGCTAGTGAGCCAGCTGGGCACCCCTGTAGCGCTTGTTTATAATTGAATTGTATTGCATTCTGCAAGTATACCACATTTGTCCATTTTTATTAGTGGATATTGAGTTGTTTCTAGTTTGGGGTTATGAATAAAGGTGCCCAGAACGCGCTCACGTGGATGTATTGAGCCTATATTTTAATCCTGGCTGTCCCACCTGGGAGCTGTGAGATGCTAGACAGGTTCCTGTTAAAGTCTCTGAACCTCCTTTCTTCACCTTTAAGAGCAGGTGAATGAGGCCTATTCCCAGCACTGAGGGGAGGCTAGCAGACGCTGGCAACAGCAGGAACTTAACTAACGGAGAACTCTGTTACATTTCACCTGTGCCTTTGCTCCTTTCATACCCTGTGCATAGAACATCCCTGCCTCCACCTCTTAAAGGGGCAGGCAGGAGTTTCCCACCTCCACTCCTCTTCAAGAGACAGGCTCCTTCTCTGATGAAAGTCCCACCCCCACATCGTGTGTATTTCTCTTAGGATTTGAGTCACTTTCTGCCAGTCTCATTCAGGGCCATGTCTCACCCCTATTTTACTCCCTGGGAAACCATGAACG